TGCCCTCTGCTCTTCCCCAGTAGTATATTGGACACCTTCCGACCTGAGGGGCTCATCTTCCAGCATCATATCTTTTAGTCTTTTGATATTGTCCATGGCGTTTTCTTGGCAAGGATACTGGAATGGGTTGCCATTTCCTTTTCCAGTGGACCTCATTTTGTCAGAACTCTCCGCCATAACCTGTCTGTCTTGGGTGGCCCTGCACAGCATAGCTCATGGCTTCATTGAGTTATGCAAGCCCCTTCACCATGACACAGCAGTGACCTATGTAGGGGCCAATTAAATCACGATCATTATAAAAATATAAAATAATAATTGTTAAAATTGAATATTTTAAAAGGCAAGATATACGAACCATGTTAGGATGGAGCTAACCTAACTTTGGAGGTGTATGGAGAATGTTCCATAAGGCAGGAGCCATGGCAGAGAACATGCGTCTCCTGGGACCCACCAAATGTAATTCCCTGATGGATGGTTCTCACAACATAACCTGTCTGCCAGATCGAATGGGATGGGCTCTTGTAATTGGGGAGAGGTGTTCCCTCAGATAATATACCCAATATATACTGTGTATATTGACATCACAGTGATGTTTCTGATACAGTCTGTGTCAGAATCACCATCACTGTCAGAATTGCGTCCTTCTAATAAATCTGATCTAGAGCTAAAATGTAGTAGAATTCCTTAAAATCCTCCCCAATTGGAATTGGGGTGAATGCATGTAAACTATCCTCTAGAATTTCCCTCTCCATCCAATGTTTACACATGTCTTCAATCAAATATTTCCATGTAGCATTCAATGGATTCCAGTTATTTTATTTCTGAGTCCTTCCTCAATTACTTTCACAGCTTTGTCTCTTCAGGCACAAAAGGCATTATAGTCTCCAATTTCATTATTTGCATGGAGGGTTTGCACTCAACTAGGATGTGGGAGCTCCAGATAAATATTAACAAAGTCATCAGAAACTTTTCTTTTTGTTTCTGATCATTAAGAAAGCCTAGGTTTAAAACAAAAACACAACAGAAACCCGTAGCAATTCTAATTCAGGAAATTCAACCAGTTATACTGGCTATAAGTGTAATAGTATGTGGGAAAGATCTTGGGAGACAAGGTGAAGAAATGCGTCCTAGGGAACAGTGAGATGAGAGAGAACATAGCCCCTAGCTGGACACTGGACAGGCCAAGAGGTTCAGAAGAGAAGTTTCTCCCTAGTTTCTTCGGCTATAAAAGAGACAGTGGGAGAATTGTACTTTCACACTTGCAATATTCTGTTAATGTAGCTTTACAGTAAAATAATCTTATCTACTGGTAAAGCTGACAATAGGTCTACTCATATAATTTCTGTATGTCTACTCAGAATTAAAGCTTACTAAATTCAAGGGGCTTTTTGTCAGGGAAGGGTTTACAAAACCTCAGGCTAAGAATAGCAAATCCTTAACAAACACTGAATTATGCAAACATAACTAAGTCTAATAATACAGTTAACTGTCATGCCATTAATGCATTCAGCATAGGACCCTTCCCCCTACAAGAGCCATTGCTACCCCAAGATCAACAATAAGTCCTTGAAAAGTATTTGGGAGCTTCAGCTGGTACAAAATGCAGCAGCGTGGGCAATGCCCATCTAGATCTGTACACATTACACCTCTGCTCTGTAAGCTGCATTGGTTACCACTTTGCTTCTGGGTGTGATTCAAAGTGCTGGTGATGGCCTATAAAGCCCTATATGGCATGCAGCCATGTCATTTGAGGGACTGCCTCTTCCAGTAACATCCACCCGTCCGATCAGGTCCAGCAGAAGAGGCCTGTTGTGGGTTTCATCCACTAGAGAATGTCAACTGGCAGGACCCAGGAAGAGGGCCTTTTCTGCTGCTGCACCCTCCCTATGGAACATCATTTCCCCCCTGTTCTCCCCACTTGTGGGTCAGGCTGGCCCTGACCTTGCTGTCCTTCTGGAAGGGCCTGAAGTCCTGGCTTTGCCATCTGGCCTGGGGATTAGAGAGTGATGTGGAGACCATAGGTTGGCTGTTCTGTTCTTGAATGGCTGTGCTCTCCCAGTGATTGTATGGTATGCTTGTTTTTAATGTTTGTATTGATTTTCATGTTTGTATTGTTTGTATGGTGATTTTTAAATATGTATTTGGTATTATTTATGTTTTAATTGTAAGTCACCTGGAGTCACGAATGTGAAATGGGCGGCTATATAAATTGAATAAATAAATAAATGTCCTGCAGCAGGGCCATCTGCAGCAGCTCAAAATAGTCAAGATGATAGCCACAGCCACACAATCAAACTCTATTCCTTTTTATGTCTGTCACAATGCAGGTAACATAGGGGCAGGTCTTCCATCATGCAGTTGCAGCCACCCACCATCTTGACTTTTTGACCTGCCTTATAACTTCATGAAGATATGAGCTTGTACAAGTCTTTCCAAGCTGAGCCCATTACCTTCCTGCAGAACACATTCTTGATCTTGCAGAAGCCACAAATCACAATTATCAAACTGTATCTGGTCTGTTCCCCATAACTTCTGGGAAAATTATGTAAAAAATCATAAATATGCTACCTTTAGCAGAAAGCATTGTTAAGTGACTCCAAAGACTTTCTGGATCCGAGTTCTTCAAAGTAACTTCTGTTTTAGATAATGACACATATGTAGATAGCTGGAGAAGGAAGGAATAGAAGAGGTTTCTCTGTACACACACTTCATATCTGCTGGGTAAGTAGTATACTAGGACCTAGATATTGGTGGTTCTAAGGTCTAATTTAACTACCTCACCACTTCTAGCACATTCTCCAGCACCAAGGCTCTTAGCAATGTAAGATGGTTAACTTCTTAGTATTCAAAAATAGTCGTCACGAAACTGTGTGTGATGGGGAGTATCTTTTAGTCGGGCACTATTGTTTGTAGAATTATAACACTCTAGTAATATTAGTCCAATAGGACACTACCATTGTTAGGCTCTCCTCCACAATATCTGCATGAGTCATATATCACAAGCAGGTGGGTCAATTTTTTTAACAACTTAGCCAATGTTTTGTATGGAACTCATGATGCTCTTGGGACCAATCTTAATTCTGGTTGCAACCCATCAGATGAAGAACAATACTTCAGGGCAGCCAAAAGCCTTTAGTGTAAGGTTTGCCCCGTTCGACAGAGAAACTCTCGTGACACGTGTGGTTCACAAAGAAGGTTTAC